CCCTGGATGTGTATAAGGTCCCAGCCAGGAATGGCCTGTAGGCAGCAAGGGCATTTCTCCAAGAGCAGCCTTGGTCCAGGCAGGCTTTTTACAGCTGGTAAAACATTCCTACCCTCTTTGATCCCGTTTTATCAGTGACTTGGAATAATTGGGCTCCATTCCTCATGGTGGCTGCCCCCCACCCCTCCCTTCTGCTGTGGCCTGTGTTTTTGCTGCACACTGATTAGGGGTAATTATCATCCTTTTTACCAGCCAAAGTGCAAGGAACAGTTCACACTCCTTGCAGGAAGCAGGAAAGGGATTTTGCAGCTGAGCCGTGATTAGGAAGCACATGGCAGGGATGCCTGAACCTGCTTGCTCCCTGGGTGGTGTCCCTGAGGCATTTGGTGGGAGATAAGCAGCAAATTTGGAGCTGTGAGACAGTCAGGAGGTGCAGGGGAATCCGCTGACCCTTTGGTTATGAGAAGCTTCCCAGTTTGCAGAAGCAGTGTGTGAATCCCTCTGGATGTGAAACCCAAACTGAGCCTGAAGGGAGGGACCCCAGAGCTGGAATGGGCACAGGAGCAGCTTCCTGAGCAGCCCCAAATACCTCCCTGGTATTTGGGAGGAGCCAAACACCAATTTTAGGGTTAAAAGGATCAGCCAGGCTTTCCTCCTGCCCCTGTGCAGGATCAGTGTTCATCTACTGCACTGGAGCTGCAGCAAATGCAGATTTGCAGCATTTTCTGAGGTTTGCACAGGGAGGACAGATTGCTACACCCTTAACAATCTTTGCAGAAGCAGTGTGTGAATCCCTGTGGATGTGAAACCCAAACTGAGCCTGAAGGGAGTGACCCCAGGGCCAGAATGGGCACAGGAGCAGCTTCCTGAGCTGCTTCATGGCCAGCTTCAGGGCTCTCTCCTCCCTCTGCCTCCCTTGCTGGACGAAGGGAGGAGCCAAACACCAATTTTAGGGTTAAAAGGATCAGCCAGGCTTTCCTCCTGCCCCTGTGCAGGATCAGTGTTCATCTACTGCACTGGAGCTGCAGCAAATGCAGATTTGCAGCATTTTCTGAGGTTTGCACAGGGAGGACAGATTGCTGCACCCTTAAGAGTCTTTCTGTTCTGTGCACTCCTCCAGGTAGGGAGAACATTTCTTCCTGACCTCAATTTATGACAAACACTGAAGCATGAGGCTGGATTGATTGCACAAGGAGATTGTGTCTTAGTAACTTGTGTGAATGCTGCAGCAGCTATGCTAATTCATCATTCCTTTATTTATGAAATCTCTGTGCAAGGTGAGTGCAATTAAATGATGTGTTTTGGGATGGTAGGGGATGAAAGGATCACAGAAAATGTAGGTTTGTTATCCTAGTTTACTGTGCACCGAGCCCACCTACAACACCATGACAAACCAGATGTGAAACATAAGGTTTAAAAAAACTAATGCAGCAATTGCTGTCACGGGCTGCATTTGTCAGTGCTGTTTGATCTCAGTGCCTTTCCTCCTCTGTTCAGAGAACTCCAATCTCGTGGCATCTTCCTGTGACAGGCAATTGAAGAACTTGTAAAATTAATTTTGGGGGAGGATGAAACATTTGCCACGTGCTGTGCAGCTGGGTCCCTGGTCCCCATCAGCCCAGACACATTCCTGCTTTGAATATTACAGGAGAAGGAGGCTCTGCAAGCGCTCTGGGCAACCTGTGCTGTGTCAGCAGCACAGAAAAGTTCTTCCTCATGTTCAAGGTGGAACTTGTGCATCAGCTTCTGCTCATTGTCCTGTTGCTCAGCAGCTGAGCAGAAATTGCTCCATCCCCTGGCAGTTCCCTTCAGATATTTATGGGAATTGGTAAAATTGGTAAAATCCTCTCTTGGTCTTCTCCAGGCTGAGCACAACCAGCTCCCTCAGCCTGGCAGTGTGGCAGCAGCCACGAGTTTCAAATAGTTTCTCTCTTTGGCCACAGAAAGAAACAGATAAATTCCCAGGTATTATTCCAGGAAAGTCTGTGAGAAGATCAGAGAAAAAAATTAGAAACAATTCTTAAATTGTTGTACCTGGTATTGTGAACATGTGGAATGGGTTATGGAGATTTGTTTATCAAAGGGTGGTTTCCTAATTAACTAATGGTGATGGTGTTTTAAATTCTTCCTCATGTTCAAGGTGGAACTTGCTGTGCATCAGCTTCTGCTCATTGTCCTATTGCTGAGCAGAAACTGCTCCATCCTCTGGCAGTTCCCTTCAGATATTTATGGGAAAATTGGTAAAATCCCCTCTTGGTCTTCTCCAGGCTGAGCACAACCAGCTCCCTCAGCCTGGCAGTGTGGCAGCAGCCAGGAGTTTCCAAGAGTTTCTCTCTTTGGCCACAGAGAGAAACAGATAAATTCCCAGGTATTATTTTGGGAAAGTGTGTGAGAAGATCAGAAAAAAAAAATAGAAACAATTCTTAAATTGTTGTACCTGGTACTGTGAACATGTGGAATGGGTTATGGTGATTTGTTCATTAAAGGGTGGTTTCCTAATTAACTAATGGTGATGGTGTTTTAATTAAAGTTCCAATCAAGTACACCTGTATTATAACTATCTCTAAAAGAACAATGGGTTTTTAAATAAGGATTATTATTGATCAGCCTTCTGTGAATCATGGAGTTTATGCCATGGAGTTTATACATTGCCATTGTATGGCAGGGTCACCTCCCTGACCTGCTGGCAATGCCAACTCAAAACCACGTAAGAAATGGGGCCAGAAAGGAGAAAAAGGATGGGACTGAGATGTGTCTGCATCTCCATGCCTTGGGATCCCATCTCCGTGGGATTTTCCTCTCTGTAAACAAATGGGGGAGATTTTTGGGCTCAGCATTAACTGCTGCAAATGTGGGCCATGGGCACAGCTGCTGTGGAAGTGGCCTGGCACATTCAGGATCAGCTTTCTGCAGGAACAGGGACATGGAGCCCAGGGAATTACACAGCATGCTGGTGACAGAGCTGAGGGAAATCTCAAATCTCCTGGGGAACTCTGAGCACCAAAACTTTTCCATTAGGGCAGAAAGGGCGGGAGTGGGTGGGCTGATGTTGCTTGCAGTCTGGCAGTTCTGGCATTCTTAAATCACACTTTGATCAGGATTCATCAAAACTCAACATCTGTGGACCCAAACTTCCCATCAGCAGGAGCCAAGCAGATGCTCCAGAGGCTGGATGCAAATTTTATTTCTCCTTTTCTTTTGGCAAACTGTGGAAATTTCCTCAGGATCTGCTGGCCTTTAGATTTTCATCCTGCTTAAGCGAAGGCAACCAAAACAAACTTTGAACACACAGAGCAGCCCAGCAATCCCAGCTTGGGGCTCTTTAGCAGCCCCAGAGTGTCACCTGTGTCACCCTCAGTCTCCTTTAGGACTGTCCAGGAGTTCCAAAGGGCAGCAGGTCACAGGGAGCAGCCACTGTGGTTGGGATCCTGGGTGTCTGCTGAGTAATTTCCAGCTGCCAAAGCAAAATAAACATGAGGCGTTTGCCAGAGGTGTGTGATGAGGGAGGAACAGTTCTCCTGGCTGTTTCCTGGGAGGGAAATAAGAGAATGGAACAAAGGGAGGTCAGTATTGCTGCTGTTAAAAGACAAACTATGAAAAAAAAGTTAGAAATTTATTTTAACTGAGGCAAATAACTAATTGGAATAGCACAGGGTTAAGGGAGAATTTAAGTGGAAAATAGAACCTGCTGTTTGTGAGTATCTTGTGTTTCTGTCTCAGCCAAGCTGCCAAGAGGTAAGGACTGGCAAACCACTGCATGAACCAGGCTGGTAACAAGGAAGGCAGGTATGGAACAGCTCCGTGGTGCTTTTCTGGACCTTCAAAAGATTGTTTAGATATAGACCTCAGGGTAAGAGGTATGCAAGAGAGGGGAGTGTGTGTGTGTGGAGAGTCCAGGTGAAGCTGCTCTGCTTGGGGCAGGATCCCAGAGGGCACAGGGGATACTTTGACAGGTGAGGCTGCTTTGCTTGGGGCAGGGTCTCACAGGGGATGCTCTGACAGGTGAAGCTGCCCTGGAGCACAAGAACCAACCAGGGCTGTGGCATGAGGGGATGCACCAGGCTGGAGGAGCTGCTACAGGTCAAGCTGGTAGGAAGCAATGAGGAGACCTGTGATGAAGGCAGCCCTGGGAAGCTTGTGGAAAGCTGGAGAGCACGGGAGGGGCACCGAGAGCTCTGCCGGGACACGGCCGGAGCTGGGAGCACAGGGCCGGCCCGTGAGGCCTCAGCCTCTCGCTGCTCGGCCCTGAGGGCTGGGCTGGGCTGGGCCGGCGGGGTCTGCGGGCTGAGCCGCGCCCGTCCCTCACAGCTCGGGCCCGGCCCGCTCCGGGCACCGCGGCAGCCCCGGGCCCGCCCTGTGCCGCCATCCCAGCGGCCTCCAAGGCCCCACCCGCCCGGCGTGGCCCAACCGCGGGCCCGTAGCGGGCGAGGGGAGGCGGTGGCTCCGCGCTGGGCCCGGCCGCGCCCGGTCACGGGAGGCTCTGCTCCCATCCCGGCCCGCCCCGCCATGGGCGCCCAGTCCGCCACCTTCCCACAATGCCCGGCGGCCCCGCCCCGCTCCAGGAACGCGCGTCCGTGCGCCCCCCCGCGACCGGCCAACCAAACCCTGCGCTCCCATTGGCCGCGGCGCCGCGTCCCGCCCGTCCGGGCCCGCCCCGCTGCCCGCCGCGCTCTCCCATTGGCCCCGGCCGCTGTCAGTCAGCGCTTGTTTTCGGCGGCAGCGGGTTGGGTTGCGCCGGCTCGTCGGTGTCTCGGCGGAGCCGTGCGGAGGGAGCGGCGGCGCAGCCGGGCGAGAGCGGCGCGGGGGCGGCGGCGGCGGCGCTGGCGCTGGGCCCGGCCGCAGCACTCGGGGCCGGGGCGAGGCCGGGCCGGGCCGGCGCCGCGCAGGGCGGGAGGGTGGGGAGGGAAGGGGGCGCGGGACGCGGGACCGGGCCGGGCCGGGCGCTGCCGGCCGTGCGGAGAACGGTGGTCGGTGCCGGGGGGGTGGGGGGGTGGGCGGGGGCGTCCCGGCCGCGGCGCGACCATGACTCTGGAGTCCATGATGGCCTGTTGCCTGAGCGACGAGGTGAAGGAGTCGAAGCGCATCAACGCCGAGATCGAGAAGCAGCTGCGGAGGGACAAGCGCGACGCTCGCCGCGAGCTGAAGCTGCTGCTGCTGGGTGAGTGAGGGAGCGAGTCCGTGCGGAGCGCGGCGCCGGTCCCGCCTCAGCGGCTGCCGCGGGGCCCGGCCCGGGGCTCGGCAGGTCCGGGTGGCCGGGCCGGGCCGGGCGGGGAGCGGGTGTGGCGGGGAAGCGGCGGGAGCCATCCCCGCCTCAAGCCCGGCGCTCGGGGCCGCTCCCGAGCCGTGCGGGGCGGCCGCCTCATTGGCTGCCCTTTGTTTGATTTTGTGATGCGTTCGCTGTCAAAATGGGTTTTGACACGAGCAGGAACTAAGCGGCTGGAATTCCTGGTGCTGAGGGCGAGCACGCACGAATTTGTGAATTTGTCTCGGGGAGAGGATTCTCAGCAGTGTGCTGGGAATCCGCTGGTGGATTTGGTGCAATTGTAATTTGGTGCTTTTCAGGATGTGTGGAAAAACGGGCCTGCAGCTCCTAAAGGCAGAGTTTCCCCTGGGGCAAGGGCTGGGCAGGGCGGTGTGGAGGTTCTGTAAGGGACAGACATTCCCCTGTTAGTGGGAATGCACAGTGAGGAGATGCCCGTGGTGTTCGGAGGTGCAGATCACCTGTGCAGCCCTGAGAATCTAGGTCTGGGGCTGGAAACAGGAGTTTCATCTGTGCCGTGCTCAGATGAGTTTCCAGGGATGGGTAATCAGCTGCAAACTGAGGCTTGCAGGCGTGAGTTTGGTGTTCGTGCCTAGGTAGCCCCAAAATTTGAGCTGAAGTTTCAGTTTTCATGCATGCCGTGATTTAGCGTTGCTTGTGTGTCGGATATATCCTGCTTTGTGTCATGAATATTGTATTATCTTGAGACGAAATCTGAAGCAGATCTGATGGATCTGTTGACAAGCCATTAAGGTCCAGCTGAAGAAGGAGGCTGACCCTTGTGAAAAAAAAAATAAAAATACTTTGCAGAAGTGAGGGGAGACTGTGTGTGCCCAGCCCCTTGGAGGGCTCCAGTACCAACACTGATACCTGGTGATAAATGTCAAATAAACCCCAGGGCTTTCCTTTTCACCCCAAACCCTTCACAATTAATGTATTGCTATTCTTTATGTGAAAGGTAAAATTAAGGGCTTTTTCTGCTCTTTGGAGATGCTGTGGCAGTTTCTGTAAGGCTTCTTGTCCCTCACTCTCATGCTTCCCTAAAAGCAGTCCCACAGAAGCAGCTGTGTCAAAATAGGTTGTCGCTATAGGATGGATCTGGGTTAAGAAGATCCCACTGGATCTAAATATTTCACTTTAGAAAGAATTCAAATTGCTCAAGAATCCTTTCTGCTTTTCTAAAAGATACAGATTCAGCATCAGATTAAATAAAAACCATATAGAAGGTGGTTATTAATGGATAAGCAACATTTTAGGTGTAGACAATTTTTGCAGGATGCTTTTCACTGGTCACAGCACATTGCCCACCTTCAGCTGGCACAGGTAACCTGTGTTCTCTCTCCCTGTGTTCTCTGTTTTATGCAGTTCTTATATTTACAACTATTAATGATTGGCTCAATGAGAGGGCTTTCCCAAAATCTCCAAAATTTTGAGTGTGTGGAGGGAGTTTCCACCTTGTAGAAACTGTTACATTTTTCTTGTCACTACATCTGGTGACAGTTACTTTGTTGAAGCCTAAAACAGAAAATTAAGGTGAAGAATAACAGTGCTAATCAATGATGAACCTGTTAATAACAAATTCAAGGTGTTGGACATTGCCATCTGGTACAAAGTAGGAATTTGTCTTTTTACTGGGTGGGGAGGATGTTTTGTACAAAAATTATTTGTGATTAAGCATGGGATATTGTTGACTGAGCAATGTATTTACTGGGGGATCATGAGGAAGTTACTGTAAACTCTGCTGCTTTCATATATTGGAAGAAGAAGTGATGAATTCAGCTTATCTCCTGTCATATTAAAAAAGGATTTTGTGCCCTGAGAGTTGTAAATCTTGCCCACCAGAGCTTGTCACCTGCTGGTGTAGTGTTGTGCCTCAGGGAGAGCAAAAGGCAACTTTCAAAAAACCCAAAACCAACCCAAAAACCCACCATCAATGAGCAAAACCAACCCCCAAACCAAAAAAGGGCAGTGATGGAGTGACAGGAAGAATTTGTGTTTGAACCCTTAAGTCCTGAGGCAAGCAAAGGTCTGGTGTTGAGGTTTCTTTTATATTTTCATTGTTGAAATGCTTTGAAGCACCACCTTTTTTTTTTTTTTCCTCTCAGTTTTGGTCACTGTGGTAAAAGACAAGGAAGTATTTCTCACCACAGTGACAGGAACCACAAAAGATCTGAGTTTCCAGTTTTTCCCCCCACTTGGGGTTCACCTTTGTATTCAAGATGGAGATGTTTGCTGCATATTGATAGTGTCTATAACGTTAATTTCTGGTTGTGCTGAGGTGATTTCTGTCAGTTCTTGCTGTTCATTTCAACATAGTTGGGTGCTTGTTGCTTTTTATCTGAGCATTTTTTATTTGTTTGCCTTTTAACCTACCAAGATAAAGTGAGTAACTGAGTATCTACATGGGAGTATTAATTGTGTGTTGGGATGAATGAGATCCTGTCTGAATCCATCTCTTCCTTAGTGTGAGGAGGAGCTGGTGGTGCCTGTGGGGAGATTCAGGGCTCTGCCAACATTTTAACTCCAGGTCAAAAGGATTTGTATCACTGACTTTATATATTTTGAGTTTTTGACTTTTTGGTCTGTGTAGTCGGGTGAGCTGGGCCACTGTGTTAGAGAGGCGTGGATTTTTTATCAATATCCTGCATAATGATAACAAATTGTAGAAGATTGAGCAAAAGCACTTCACAGAAATGTAATGGTGCCCATTTATGCTGCTGAAATGTGGAGCTGAGCTGATCCCAAGTGAGACCTGGCCTGGCTGTGCCCTCACGGGGCGATGTCACCAGGGGTTGAATTGTGAATTTAGCAATTCTCTCCAACTGCCTGCATGCTGTCGGATGGCGTTTTCCCCTCCTGCTCACCCTGTTAGAAAGTTCCCCACTGTCCTTTGGTATCATCTGGTGGCCTTCACATGCCGAGCGACACTCCTGCGCGGGGCCATAAATGTAGGAGTGGAAAGGACCTGCCCGGGTGACGGTGCAGGAAGCGCTGCCCTGCGCCGCGTCCTGCCCTCCCATCTGCTCCCAGCCCGGCAGTAAAACCTGCAAAAGAAGGAGGAGAAGGAAGCAGTGGCCTTGCAGAGCAGGCTGCAGCCCGTGGGGACCCAGGCACGGCACCGACAGCTGGAGCAGTGGCCTACTCTGCTCTCCCTGCCAGACGCCATTTTTAACTCTCTCCCACCCACAGCAATCCTGCCACAGGGAGCAAAAATTTGGGCTACGAGGCACATGTGCTGCCTGCCTTCTTCAGAGTTTCTTCAGCTCAGTTCCCTTTTAGAGTTGATTTATTTTTTTCCTCTTGCGTTTGCTTCTTCCCTTCCCGCGTAGAAAACGTTTTGTGCCAGATCAGAACAAAACAAAATTTGCCGCTTGCTGGGCTTCTCCTGACCATTCACTGCTGGGTTTGTAGCACTTTTCCTGCCTTGAGAGAGTGTCCAGGCCCTTCCTGGCTGTTGTAGCATCTTGCTGGAGTATCTGGGAATAGGTCAGGTGTGACGGGCAAGGGCCTCTTGACGCAGGACGTGTGGGAGTGGCTGTAACGTGAGATTTGGAATAAGTACCTGAGCTCCTTTTGAAGGCTGCTGCAAAGGACAAGGTGTCTTCCTTGCAGGCTGCCTTTTAAGTGACAAAAAGAGGGTTGTGTGCTTGGGTGTAGTGATAGGAGCTTTCATCTCTCATGGATTTTGCTGCTGGTGGCTCCTAATTCGCTTTTTTGCATCCTGTAGGCACTGGGGAGAGTGGGAAGAGCACGTTCATTAAGCAAATGCGTATTATTCATGGCTCAGGCTACTCTGAAGAGGACAAAAAAGGCTTCACCAAGCTGGTGTACCAAAACATCTTCACTGCCATGCAGTCTATGATAAGAGCCATGGAAACCCTGAAGATTCTGTACAAATATGAACAGAACAAGGTAAGTTGGTCAGTTTTTGGACAAATCTTTAGTCAGTGAGGATTTTGAGTTTTTGTTTCTTTGTGTCTTTCTGCGTTGCAACCTCAACCTCCCTGAACTCTTTTCTATAAACTTTTTATGGCATTTTCTTGATACCCAACTCCTTTTACTTGGTTGTGTTAAAGGACAGAACTTTGCATGGTTGGTGCATGATGTGCCTAGTGAGTTGTGGGATAGGAAGGGATAGGAGAGGTGTTATTTTTACTCATTTCAAGGGTTCAGAGTTACTAAATGTGTTTCTTTTCATGTGTTCCTTTTCTTATTGCAACTTGAAGCTGGCAAAATGCATGCTGGACCAAAAGACACAGACCTGTGCTGGTGGTTACCCCTGTTTCTGCAATGCTTCTGTTTTTCTGATAGCTACTGACCAAGGGTGCAAATCTTTCATGAAGAATTTTGGTCTCAACCACAGAAACATGCTGATTCTGGGACCAGGAATTAATTTTAGACAGATCTGATCTAAATTATTTTATCTTTTTGAGGGGGAGGACAGTGAGAGTGAGGGCATGCCAGGAAAATAGATTTTTTTTTTAGCATATTTTGCTTTTTTTAAATGCTTAGTATCCTTAATATTTTGAAGCTGTGTTTTATCTGACCTATCACAGAATGTCTTGGAGCTTTGAATTTTGAATATTTAATTTTGAGTAATTGTTTGTAGGGATTAGATGGTGCCCCTTTCCTGTCTGTGGTGAGAACAGGCAGAGTGTGAGAAAGCTTTCCCTTTTATGTGCTTTATGTGTGGCATGGTGGAAGGGTTTTGATAAATAAAATCTGCCAGGTTTTGCTTGCTGTAACCTGTACAGAACTTCATTTTTGTTTTTTATTTATTGGGGGCATTGGCAAAAGCCCCTAGGTGTGGATAATCACCTCACAAACACCACAAGCTATGGTAGTTACTTTGTTTAGCCATTGTAGGGTTTTTATACCCCTCAGTTTTGGGGTTTATTTTAAATTTTTCTCTCTTTTCTTCTTCTTTTCAATCTCCAGGCCAATGCAGTGCTGATCAGAGAAGTGGATGTAGAAAAGGTCATGACATTTGAGCAGCCATATGTAAGTGCAATTAAAACATTGTGGAATGACCCTGGAATACAAGAGTGTTATGACAGGAGAAGAGAATATCAACTTTCTGACTCAGCTAAATAGTAAGTACACAATCACTGGCATGCTTGTGGTGGGAGTGATGCTCCAACAAATTTATTTATTTATTTATTAAAGTCTAGAGTTTATTTCCTTATTATTTGCTGCTTTTCCTGGGAGTCTGAGGTGTTCATGCATCTGCTTCAGGATGTACCTGAGGCCAGAATCTCCACATTATTCCATCTGTATTGATCCTGGCTCTTGGGCAGCGGGAGTGCTGCTCCTTCTCATCAAGTTTGCCATGTGTAACTCAGATTTTATTAATTACAAATCCATTAAGTTTGGAGTTGTACAGAGGATGTTTCTACATTTATAAGTAGAAAAGCTCAGATGAGACTTGATCCTGAAACATAAAGCATTTAAACTTCCTCTGTTGTAAAGATTGTATTCCCCACTCCTATACAGAGTGGATAAAATTGTTTTTGGTGAATTACTGTTCCCCAAAAATATTTTCTAGTTACTTTCCACACCATATTTAAAATCATTCAGACAACTTCTGCCTTTCTCATTACTCTACAGAAAGACTTCATGTAGCAGTTTGTACATCTGTATCTTTATATGCTGCAACCTAAGGTAGTTTTTTTTTCCTTTTTCCTTTGTTATTTTTTTTTCCACTGTCCTGTTTGCAGCTATCTCAGCGATGTGGATCGTATTGCCACCCCAGGATATCTACCAACTCAGCAAGATGTGCTACGGGTTAGAGTCCCTACAACCGGGATCATAGAGTACCCCTTTGACCTAGAGAACATTATCTTCAGGTACTGAGGTGTCCTCATGTTACAGCTCAGCAGGGACATGGTTTCAGGAAGGATAAATGTGGGCTTTTTTCAGTGGATGTGTGATGGGTGATGCTCTAATTGGGGTGGTGTGATGTTTTGGAATCTCAGAAAACTCAAAATTCAAAACTCAGAATTCAAAACTCAACCTGCTTTTGAATCAGTGACACTTCACAACCCAGGGAACCATCCTGGTGTCCTTCCTGGGAAGGATTGCACTGCTGAAATTGTGATTTATGAGGCAACTCAGCAAGATGTGCCATGGGTTAGAGTCCCTAAAACTGGGATCATAGAGTACCCCTTTGAGAATATTATCTTCAGGTATAAGAATATTATCTTCAGGTACTGAGGTGTCCTCATGTTACAGCTCAGCAGGGAGATGGTTTCAGGAAGGATAAATTGGGGCTTGCTTCAGTGTGTCCACATGGTTTTAGTGGATGTGTGATGCTCTAATTGGGGTGGTCTGATGTTTTGGAATCTCAGAAAACTCAAAATTCACAACTCAACCTGCTTTTGAATCAGTGACACTTCAAACCCAGGGAAGCATCTTGATGTCCTTCCTGGGAAGGATTGCACTGCTGAAATTGTGATTTGTGAGGCAGCTGAGGGATGTGTTGAGAGCTGAAGCACCAAGGGCTGACACTTTTTGTGCAGAAATTCTTCTTTGTACACAGCACCTGCCTTGAGAGCTGGTTTTCTGTGCCCACCTTGTGTTCTTAGGGTGGCACCAAAAGTTGCTGCTGCAGCAAGAGGATCTTTGCAAGCTTAAACCAGAAATTAAGCCTGGCATGACCAGGCTGAACCCTGCAATATTCCTGTGTTTCTCTCTGGCTGCTCTCTGCCCTTCCCCACCACACTGTGCCATTGCCAGAGAGGAATAAAGGAACCTGCATCCCCTCTTTTAAACCATTTAGTTACAGAAATGCAGAATTCTCCTCTCCCAGTTCTGTTTTGCTGAGTAGAAAAACAGCAAAAAACCAAAACTGTGAGTAGGTGTAGGATTTTCTCAAAGGTGAGCCACGTGTGGCACTTCAGGTGAGTGCCAGAATAACTTTAGTGTACAGGTAGGACTTGAAATTGAGAGGCTGAAGTGCTTGACTGTGAAACAGCACATTCCAATAAAAGTGTAACAACTAAAGAAAGATTTGGGTGGGGGAGAAGCTTTGAGGCAAGCAGGTGCTTTAATTAAAAATAAAAATAGTTTGCTCACGTGACAGAGCACAGTTTTGAAGGACTTGTCTTTTCAGACTCAGGGCTGCTGCTGCTGAGCAAACCAGAGCAGAATGCAACAAAAATGGTGAAAGGTGAATTTGGCATCCCTCACCTGTGGCCATTCTTGCAGTTTGCTGTATTTCTGGACCATATTTTGTAAATTTGATGGTTTTGTAAATTTGAAGCAGGCAGATGCTGTCACATCCTTGTGCCAGGTTAACAGGAATGGTAAAAATCCAAATTAATTCTCATTGTTTGCTGGTCCTATGCTACCTCTGTGATATTCTTATTTACTTCTCTTCCTTAGAATGGTGGATGTTGGAGGGCAGAGATCAGAACGAAGGAAGTGGATCCATTGCTTTGAAAATGTGACTTCCATCATGTTTTTAGTAGCACTTAGTGAATATGACCAAGTTCTGGTGGAATCTGATAATGAGGTGAGCCAAAGAGTGGGAACTCTGCAGGAGGAAGAAAGGGAAAGAGGGAGGAATTTCTTTGTATTTCCTCAAAGGCTGGTGCCCAGCTGCTTGGTGCCAAGTTGGATTAGCTGCTCTTAGTGGTTTTGGCCTTCAGTTCTTGTTGCAAAGGGAACATGAGCCTCCACAGGTCATGATGTCCCTGAGGATGGAAAAGGCAGAGGGCATTCAAATCATCTGGACTTGTCAAGTGAAAAATGAAATTATCTGCAGTTTCCAAGTCCCTTGTGCCATGCCCTGTGCTCCCACATCACCCCTTCCCCTCCTGCACTGAGTTACTTCAGGCTTTGCTGTCCTGTGAGGTGCTGACTGCACTCTTTGAAGGTGCAAATCTGAATTTTAGCACTTGCTAATAGATCAAAAACATGCTATTAGATAAAAATAGTTGCTCTTTTTCTAGTAGACAAAATATGCTCACAAGATATCATTGGACAGTGCTCTCACACGACTGTTAAAGCATAAAATGACTTTTAAATCTTTTGATGTGAAAAGCTTGGCAAATAAATGAACCTTGAGTCCCTCAGATTTTGCATTTCCTTTCCATTTACTGATCCAGCTTGAACCAGAATCTACCTGGGACCAAAATATTTTGTGTGTAATGTTTGAGATGCTGAATTCCTACAGCAAAAAGGGATTTTAGTGCTCCTCTGTGCAAACAGGGTTTTGTTTTTCTGCTTTCAGAACCGGATGGAAGAGAGTAAAGCTCTCTTTCGAACCATTATAACTTATCCATGGTTCCAAAACTCTTCTGTTATCCTCTTTCTCAACAAGAAAGATTTGTTGGAAGACAAGATCCTGTATTCTCACCTTGTTGACTATTTCCCAGAGTTTGATGGTGAGTGGATTTTAAGAGGGAACACTTGGTGGGGTGGAGGTGATTTGGTTAAAATTTATTTATTTTTTTAAAGAACATTCAGATATAGAAGTGGAGAAAGCATTAATTGGAGAAAGAGTGACTACAGCAATAAGAAAGCATCACAAAAATATCTTAATTGTGCATAGAGAAGTGGAATCTGATAGGGTGATCAAATAATGAGCCTCTCCTAAATGAAGAATTATCCCCTCCAATATGCACAATGGAAGTCTAACTTCTACATAAAACCAGTTTCATACCCATGACAATTTCCTGATGTTCTGGATCTTTTAACCCTCTAGTTAAGAGGTAATTTCAGTCTTTGTTTTGAGAAACCAACTGGTCAAGTTGTTTAAATGATGGTGCTAAAAAAAAAAAAATCTTCTGCAGCCTGAGATTCTTATTAGCTTATTAGCAGAAATCCATCTGCTGTTGTGGGGAAATATCTATGTGAAACAGAGAATTTCCCATCTGAAATAAAACTCCTTAGCCAAAATATTATTTCAGGCTCTTCAGCTGAGTGCATTTAAAGCTGGCTGGTAACACATCTGTACAGGGCTGAAAATAAAATCAAAGTGGTGGAGGATAAATCAGGCAATACTCTTCTTGCCATGCTCTAATTCTGCAATTATTTGCTTAAAAAATAGGGGGTAAAGGAAGAATTACCATCTTGCAAACAGCTTTTATGATTTAGAGGACCAGTGGAATTGTGTTGGTGTGTCCTCCCACATCTGGAGTTCCTGCTTGGAGCTCAAGTTTTTCCAGCAGGCTGGGAATGGGTGAAGAGCTGCATCCCCAACAGGGATTGGAGTTTGTTGGGTTCCAAACTTCAAATGGAGCTTTAACAGCTGGAGACACATCCCAGCTTCCAGGGCTGTCCTGTGCTTCCATTTTTTCCTGCAAGCAGCTCCTTCAAGGATGCAGCATGGCCTGTGAGTGGCAGCTTGCCCATCAGATTTCCTCTCAAGGGATGGTATTTGCCATGCAACAACAGCAGTGAAAGAAATTGTAGTAGGTGATTATTTTCTGGGGACTTGTCAGCAATGTGAATTAAAAACTGGCCAAAATCCCCATTTTTAGCTCCTGTGAGGTGACCAGCTGGATCAGACTGACTGTATTTTGACTGGCAATAACTCTTATTTGCAAAATTCACACTTGTGTCTTTCAGCCTGTGACATCCACCTGTATAATAGGAAGAAATATAGACCCCATTTCTGTGGGAGATCATTTAGGGGTGTCTGTCCAGGATCTGCCACTGTTTCCCAGTGGATGCTCCCACCCTGGGCCTGAATTCCAAAGCAGGGTCTGAACTGGCCCATCAAAACTGCAAAATGCCCAGGGAGCTGGTTAGACAGCTGAAAACCCTAAGGCACTTCATCTCCTGGAGCTTTGATCCCATAAATAATCTTAATTTCTTTTTTAAAGCTGTGTAACCCTTAGGAAAAAAGTGCTGCTGAAACCATTCACTGGTTTCACTGTATATTAGGAAGAAATGTATATTAGGGAGAAATGTACACCCCATTTCCATGGGAGAGCATTTAGGGGTGTCTGTCCAGCACCTGCCACTGTTTCCCAGTGGGTGCTCCCACCCTGGGCCTGACTTCCAAAGCAGGGTCTGAACTGACCCATCAAAACTGCAGAGTGCCCAGAAAAGTATAAGACACTTCATCTCCTGGAGCTTTGATCTCATAAATAATCTTAATTTCATATTTAAAGCTGTGTAACCCTTAGGAAAAAAGTGCTGCTGTAGCATGGGAGTGAAACCATTCACTGGTTTCACTATATATTGGGAAGAAATGGATATTAGGAAGAAATGTACACCCCATTTCCATGGGAAGGTGTTTAAGGGTGTCTGTCCAGCATCTGCCACTGTTTCCCAGTGGATGCTCCCACCCTGGGTCTGAACTGACCCATCAAAACTGCAAATGCCCAGGAATTTGGTTAAACACCTGAAAAGCATAAGACACTTCATCTCCTGAAGCTTTGATCCCATAAATAATCTTAATTTCATCTTTAAAGCTCTGTAACCCATAGGACAAAATTGCTGCTGGATCTGAGGGAGTGCAAGCATTCACTGGTGTCTCTGTTTGCTGCAGGCCCACAGAGGGATGCCCAGGCAGCCCGTGAGTTCATCCTCAAGATGTTTGTGGATTTAAATCCCGACAGTGATAAAATCATCTATTCCCATTTCACATGTGCCACAGACACAGAAAACATCCGTTTCGTCTTTGCAGCTGTCAAGGACACCATCCTACAGCTCAACCTGAAGGAATACAACCTGGTTTGACCTGCTCTGCTCTTGCCCCTTGAGAGGCTTCTTTGTGAAGAAAAGACAAAAAAACAAAAAAAAAACACAAAAAAAAAAAAAAAAGAAATTTTAAATATGACAGGTTAAAAAAAAAAAAAGTTTTAATTTTTGATGATGTAATGATTGCAAATTGTCTGATCTGTGGAGTGGCAAGTGCTCAGTGTTACCCTGGAGTCTCATGTCTCTGTCCACAGAGTAGTTGATTTCATATTTTTAACAAATTGCTTTTATGTCACAGTTAACGGGGATATGCCTCATTTCTTCAGCACCTTGCTTACTTCTTAATTTTTGCCAAGCAGCTAAGGCAGCCTCATCTTGATCTTTCCTTTGTTGCTAAGCCACTTTTTTTTTTTTTTTTTTAAATTTTATTTTTTCCCCCCTTTCATTCCCGTGGTATATGTAGAGAAAAACAAAAAATCCCCAACACTTTCCAGCTGAGATTGTGAATTCACTGGACTGTGGGAGTGCAGAATGCTACTGGTCCCTTTGCCTTGTGCTCTAGGGTGCCTCTGGTGTAATTAATTTGCTAATCCTGCTTCCTTCCCTTCCTATTTTCCCTTTCCTTCCCCAGGACACGCTCCATGGTTCACTGTGATGAAATGTTGGGGAGGAGCAATTGCTCTCCAACTATTGTGCAAAAAAAAAAAAAGAAAAAGGCAAAACAAACAAACAACAACAAAAAAAAAAGCCATCACTTTTCCATTCTTTATATGTTCTGAGTAATTTTTTGTTATCAATTATAAAAGGTATGGAGACTGTGATTTTTTCTTTTTTTTAAATTATTGATGTTCTATACATAGTTTGCTATGTGTTGCTGTATTTTGTTCACGGACTACAAATGATGGAAGCTCTTGGAGCAATAGCTGCTGAGCCTGGGGAAGTGCCTGACTGTAATTGTTCTTTTTTTTATTTCATTTTTATTTCACTTTTATTCCTTTTTTTAATTTTTTTTTCCCCACACACACACACAAACACATCCCACCCACACCACAAGCACGTGGCCATGTGTGCACAAGGCTCAGTCTGCAGAGAGGATCTGTTTTTGTTGGGAAGAGTTTTTGACATCAATGAGCAACTTCTCTATGCAGCAGTTACCAAAAGCACACTGAGTGATTGTGGCATTCCAACATCAGACTTTGCCTGCATTGAAAACCTTAATCTTGTGCCATCCTCTAGGTCTTTTCTTGCTGCCTAATAGCAATCAAGCCTTGTTTTAATTGCATTTTGTGCCAGTGTGTGAATGACTTTGTAAGAATTCCTCAGCCTTGCAGAGTTTGAGAGGACCAGAGCTGGAGGGTGAGAGGCTCTGCCAGGATTGTTCCTTTTGGAGCTTGAGGATGGCTCTTGGAGGGAGTTCTGTCCCTCCTGTTGATGCATTCCCCTCTTTGGAGGAGTTTGGGATCCTCTTTGGAGGATTTGCACCCATCCTTGCTGCAGGGTGGTAGCAGTGGTTAATTAATTAATTAATTGTTAGCAGGGGCTGCTGCAGAATGCAGAGAGCCCTGCCCTGGCTGCACTTGGTGCAGCAGGAGAGGAGGAGAGAGGCAGCAGCACCAGCTGGAAGGCAGAATAGATGAAATTGTGGATTCTCAATGCCACCTGAATCTCCACTGAGCACGAGGAGAAGCCTTTGCACATAGGAGAGTTTGGTTTTGCAGGAGCTGAGGCAAATCAGGGTGCTGAAAGGAGAGGACAGAGGCAGCAGCACCAGTTTGAAGGCAGAGTGGATGAAATTGTGGATTCTCAGTGCCACTGAATCTCCACTGAGCAGGAGGAGAGTTTGATTTTGCAGGAGCTGAGGCAAATCAAGGTGCTGCTGCCAGCCTGGAGGAAGAAGTGCATTGGCAAGGCAGGGAGAGAGAGGGAAGCAGGAGGTGAGACCCACTGGGTGTGTGTCAGTCACTGATGCTCCTGTTTCAATTCCAACAAGAAGAATTGGGTCCAAATTCTCTGGATCAACCAGATTGCCCCCTCGAAGGCTGCCAGTAGAAAAAAAAGCCAAAACAAGCTGCACTGTGGGAGGGGGCTGTTGATATTTTGTCTCTTTTGTAGACAGAGCACTACATCAGTGTTTTGCACAACCTTGTAAGAGTAAATCTAACTGTCTGAGATGCTTAAGATGCTTTGATCTAGAACACTAAATCATGGAGGGACGTGATTTTGAATCATTCTGTTGCTAGTTCCCTCATTTTCCAGAAGCCTCTGTGTGCTCAGAGTGCTACAGAGCAAAGCAAGCTCTGCTCCAGGTGATTCCAGAGCTCGAGGTGGAACAGTAGCCATGGGACCAACAGCTGATGAGCCAGTCTGAGGGAAACATTGCATCTCTTTAGACTAGCCATGCTCTGGACTGCATTTAACCCTTGGGAGGAATGAGGAGGGATTCCCATGTGTCAGACAGCTTTGCATCAATTTTACTGCATTTTTTGGGGTTTTTTTTTGTTTGTTTTCATCTTTATGCCAAAATGATCCAGTTTGTAGAAATTGTCTTATAAAGAGGAATTTATAATCATCTTCATGTATTCTAAGTGCTGTTCCTCTGAAGCAGACAGCAGCACCAACCTCTTCTGCTTCTGTGATCCTTTTGTAAATGGTTCACACTACAGCTGTTGCCAGCAATGAGCCTGGCACTGAGATACACAGGTTCTTGGAAAATAACTTCCCAGAAGTTTCTGTTTTCCAAGGTGAATGATGGTGGTACTTCCACTTGAATCAGAAACTTTTTTTTTTTTTTTTTTTTTTTTTTTTTTTTTTTTTTTGGTCTTGTTTTGTACCTTCCCCCTTTCTTTAAGAGCTGCTGCCCTGGCACAGGAGGAGGGATCTTGGCATCTGTCTCTTGCAGAGTGACTCTGCATGGTGGGAAGCTGTGGGCACGAGGATTTGGGAAATGTGCTGCACCTTGTGGGGCACCTGCTTGGGTTGGCCTGAGGAGTGGCTCAGGGGAGGGAAGGGAAGGGCTGAGCTTTGCTCAGTGGCTCTTGTTGAGTTGTGAAACCTCCTCCTGGACTGGGGTAGGAATGGGTCAGAGCTGTACCTGTCACCTGGAGTTGTGTGTGGCTGTATCATGTGTGAGAAGATTGCAGTGTTATCAGCACGTGCTTTCCTTAGTGGGCAGCTGCTCGTGTGCCTCCAGCTTGGCCAGTGCAGTGTTCCTGCACAGCTGGCTCCTGTCTCTGTTGGCTGGCAAATGCAAAAGTGCCAAACCTTAAAACCAAATTTGCCTGTATCAACCTTTCTGAAAGTGAGGCCTGTCAGAGCTCTCTGCAGGCTGAGAGTGACTTTCAGAAGAAAGGTAAAAATTGGGTTGTTGTAGGGAATCCAGAGCCTGAGGAGTTGGGTCTCCTTGCTAACCTCTGCTCCTTGTGCACTTTTAACCTTTGTTCTGTTGAAGAAACCAACATACTTGGAACTAGTTTGAAACTTGAAGCCAGTGAGCAGAGGAGCATCCCTTTTCCTTCACCATCCCGTGTGGATTGGCAACCTGGTGAGCAAAAGCCCCTTCCAGCTGCAGCGTGTCAGCTCCTGCCCTTCCTCCCTCCCTTCTCCTCCACTTGGATTCTTTGGTCTCTTGTTGTTGCTTCCTAGCAATGTTGGCCTTGCGTTCAACTATGGTTTTTCTTCATGTGTTTTATTGGTTAAAAAAAAAAAAAAAAGACAAAAAATACTTAAAAAAAACAAACAAACATTAAAAAAAAAGACCAAAAAAAAAAAAAAAAAAAAGTACTTCCAGAGTGTGCTGACCATTGTATTGTCCTGTACAGAGCCCAGGTCGTTAGAGTCCAGCAGAGATAAAGTGTGTTATGCAGCACCCAGTTTTTTAAGAGTATGGTTTGTGCCAATGCCCCTTCTTTTAGTAGTGCCAGAGACTCTTTACAAGTGCCAATGTGGTGGAAATTATTTGGTTATACTTGTATATTATAGGATCCTGATTTAAGACAATTTAAACATTATCCTATTTAAAAAGAATACTATATAAAATGCTGTTTTTAAACCTTGTCATTTGCAATGCATGTATTGTTGTGCGTGTTGGGGGGCGGGGAGGGAAGAGGGTAGGGGAAAGGAGTTTCTGAATAAGATGCCCAGTGTCAGGATCTATTCAGACTCCAAACTGTCTCATTCCAGTCCAGGAGTGGGATTGTTTCTTGGAATGATCCCACTCTGACTGCTGGGCAACTCACGCTTATTACAGAAATATCTGATGGAAATTGATTTTCATATCTTTCTCCTGAAATAAACTCTCTGTTTGAAATTGGAATAAATTTTGTTCCTAAAAGCCGTGTGGTGGTTGTGTGTGTGTTTCTTCTCTCCTCTTCCTCCCTGGTACCCTGTGGGATCTGCAGCTCTGCCTCCTGTCAGAAAATCAGCGTTCTGAGACATAGAAACAAAGCCTGTTTTGGTAAATAAAAGATATAATAGCCCATAATTACATATAATGCATTTTACCATTAACTCTGAAATGTGAGCAGGGTCTGCCTGGGGGTTTAAGGTGCAGGGATGCAATGGTGGCATCTTGATTTGAAGTTTTCCAGGATTTTGGAGCAGGATTGCTGAGGGTTGGTGTTTGCTGCTGCCTCTTGCTGTGTTGTCAGCCCCTTGCAGGCACAATTCCAAGCAGGAAATCTTGCTGCCAATAGCAGGAATGCTGGTGGGACCAGAACTGCTTCCAGTCTTGTCTGTTAGAAACAGAAATATAAAACATGGCTTAAAATCATCCCTGACTGTGAAAACTAAAACTTCCACAGAGAGATTTCCTGACACTGAGTTTATAGAGCTTAATTCCTTTTCTCTGGGCTCATTCTCCAGGAATGTTGCACTAAATCAGCTGGGAGTGGGTAGAGATGGCCAATTTCCTCTCTGTAAAGGTTTCCTGTGTTTTCAGGAAGCTGCAGCTGAGGATGTTCTGCTCCCTCCAAGGTCACTTAGCCCAGGTGAAACTGCAGCTCCTGAGACATTTTGTTGGCTCCCACCAGGAAGGGAACAATGGTGTGGTGGCCAGAGCACTGGCAAGGATTTAAATTGTCACTTTTCTAGCTTTTTGGGTGAGTTTTTGTTGCTTTTCTCAGAGGCTCT